TCAAGGAAAATGCACCCTAACCACACCTGCACAATCAAGGGGGATTATTGGGGGGCCGATAATCCGCAGCAGCAACGTGATCGTGAGGCGGGAAAAAAGCGCGGGAAGGGGGGAGTATAACAAGTAATGCAATTGTACCAAGCCAGTCCTGGCTTTGCTTGTGACTACTACGGTACGCACGAGTAAACCCTTTTTGTGAACCACACGTGTCACGAGAGTTTCTCTGTCAAACGGGGCAAACCTCACACTGTGCACATTCAAAATATTTTTGCACATGCACCAAAGAAAATCAAACTGACCCCACTGACTTTCCTATTGCTTCAGTCTCACATTTCTTGTCATATACATTTGGTTGAACACCGATGCACACAGCACTGAACAAAAATTGCCTTGTCAACTTAACATTTCTGGATGAACTTCACAATATTTATCCAATCTATATAAACAATTTTTATTTGTAACTTTAAAAGAGGATGAAAAGTTATTATATTAGCTTATGCTTGGTGTGATGAAGGTTGGAAACCATTTCTTTATTATTGTCGTCGTTGCTTTTTTCCTTTTTCTTTTTTATTCTACTTTTTTTCCTTTTCCTTTTGTTTTTCTTTTTGCTGCACCTTCTGAACTTTTATTTTTAATTTTTTTTCTTCTAGTTTAGTTGATATTAGTTTTTACTATGTTTATTTAAAAACACTTCAATAAAGTTAAAAACAATCTATATAAATGATGAGAAAGTTATTTGCAAATTGAATCCCTTTATTACTAACTGTTTACTTTAGGGATACAATCAGAGAATTTTAAGTTGCTCCATTGTTCTTCTTCTTAGCTGTTCTTTACTGTTCAGTTCAGGTCTCATTATCATAATATAACATTTGGGGAAGAAGATGCAAGCCAGTAGCCCACCACTGGAGGACAAAATAGAGAAGATCTCCATGGCCACCATATATTTCCCTTTTGTGGTCAAGTATGTTGGAACAAAAGTGAGCCAAACACTGCTAAATACCAGCATGCTGAAGGTGATGAACTTGGCTTCATTGAAAGTGTCAGGTAACTTTCTCACTAGGAAGGCAACAGTGAAACTGATAATTGCCAAGGTCCCCATAAAACCAAGGGCACAGTAGAACATGATTGTTGACCCTTCATTACATATCAATACAATTTCCTTTGGCATGGAATACATGTCAACACATAGGAATGGGGGAGAGGTTGATAGCCATACAATACAAATACTGGTTTGAATAAAGGAACAAGAAAGAACAATAGAAATGGCCAGTCTCTTTCCCACCCATTTTCTCATTCTGGAGCCTGGCTTGGTAGCCATGAAAGCTAGAATTAGGATGATAGTCTTTGCCAAAATGCTTGAAACTGCCACGGAGAAGATGAGGTCAAAAGTAACTTGCTGAAGAAGGCATGTCCATTGATAAGGCTGGCCAATAAACAGCAAAGCACAAAGAAATGAGAGCAGGAGGGAGGTGAGAAGGATGTAGGTGAGGGTCTTATTGTTGGCTTTCACAAGAGGGGTGTCATTGTGTTTAATGAAGAGCCAGAGCAGCAAAATAGTAATGAGGGAAAAAGAAAGAATAAAACTGGTGAAGATGATCCCCAGAGTTTCTTCATAGGACAAAAATGTTACATATTTTGGAATGCAAAAATCTTGCTCCTCATTTGGGTAATGATCTTGTGGACAATAAAAGCACTCATCCATGTCTGCAAACAAAAACTCCAGGCTTTAGAGCATTGTACTAGACTAACCAACCCATTTTTACAAAGCTTTGAACAATTCCTCTCAGTTTGGAAGTGGGGCCAGATCAAGAAACCAATCCTCCATCTTCTTTTCTGAGGAATGTATTTGTGCATTTATTTATTTCTTTATTTGCTTCATGGTATTTATATACTCCCCCAGTCAGACCAAATCAATGCCCACTTTAAATGAGTAAAAGAAGACCAGGCTTCCATACTTGGATAGGGAATATATCTAATGTATATCTAATCTTCTTTCCTTTTCCATTTCCATTTTAGTCACTAATTTTTATAACCTTCTTCTCATGAGATATTTGAATATCAATTCAGGTTCTTTTAAATCTCTAAGAGTTGTGTGAGTGTCAGATATTAGCTAAGCATAGATCCACACTTTAGTCTATAAAACACAGTCAATTGATTTTTGCCTGGAGCACAGACTTTGAACCATTTCTGTCCATGGTATTATTTACCCTTGTGGCTAGAAATCTTCCCTTCTGGACAAAGGAGGCAATGATAACAGCAAAATGGCTTTCCTTCTTCCTTGGCCTTTCTATAGCCTGAATGGCACTTGGCATTGCAAAGAGAAAGGGGCTGTGTCTATTCTTAAAAGAAAGAAAAATGTTTTTCCTCTTTTGCAAGTGTGCATGTCAGCAGTATCTTTAGTTCTCATTGTCTGACAGTTTCTCGGAAGGGAATTCCTTAGGATTTCTAGGTCCAAATATCAAATTTACAGCCTTTGAGAATAAATTGCATGAATAAATATAAAGTTATATTGTTATAATATAAATAACATTTAATGTAAATATAATTCCCATTGGTACACAAAATTAAAATCTCTTTCAAGTGTATTTGGAGACTTTAATGAATCAATGTGAAGCCAGGCATACAGGATCTTACCATTTATAGTACTATCTATTCCTAATAAGAAAAATTCTGACCTCCCTGGAAGGAATGTAATTGTAATATATGAATTGGCTATGAATGTAACCAGAAACAGTTTTGCTGGAACTCTATTCTGACTGATTTTTAAAGTGCTTCTTTCATTGCTGATTTTTCTTTCAGGATAGAAGCCATGTACTTTTTAAAAAAAGTTCTTTTCCTAGGAATATTGAAGGGCTGATATTCTTATGACTAGAACTTCTTAGAAAAATGCTACATGATTTCCAGCCCCCAGAAGAAGAGAAAACATTACTGCAGCAGGATTCTAAGTTGGATTCATGCAGCTGTAAAAGTTCTTTCCTATGGTTTTGTGCTGGCTGAGTTTTGTCCTTCCAGTGGAAGATCAATCATTGCAATAACCTCAGTTTAGCAAAAT